TTACGTAATCATGCATAGTCACGAGCACAACACAAACGATGTGCAAGGGGCAAGGACCTTCTAACATAAATCTCAACCTGTTTGCTTGCTTCTTTGATGTTTACGGGCTTTCCTAACCATTTCCCTCTATTAACTGTGTTTCAGCCGAATATTTGAAAAGACATGCACCTGCACCAGCACTTCGTGGCGGGATGGGTAGCCTTTGCCATGTATAAATGTAAATGTGAATAAAGTCCTTTCTAGAAAAGAATAATACCTTTTTCAATTCAAAATATGGATTTAGAGAGAATTGTTCGACCCCACGTGCGATCTTGGACATCCTGAACAAAATTCGAAACAATGTGGATGTAAAATTATTTTCATGCAGTATTGTTGTCGATCTGAAAAAGGCATTTGACACAACCGACCACTCGATACCGGTATACAAATTGCATCATTATGGATCAGAGGAACAATTAACGACTGGTTTGTTTTGTCATATCTGTCAAGCGGAACACAATCAAGTCAAACTGGCTCTATTGTTTCTAAGAAAGAAAATCTAGTTTGCGGTGTCACTCAAGGTTCCCTGCTTGGTCCGTTGCTCGTTCTAATCACTGTTAATGACATGCATCGTTCCTCTCCAAAATTTAATTTTTATCTGTTTGATGATGAGACCAATCTGCTATGCGCAGAGATAGATTTAAGAAAGCTCGAAATTAGCGTTAATCAGGAATTGTCGAAACTGCGTGACTGGCTAGATCGCAACAAATCATTCCTTAACCCAAGCCAATCTAACTTCGTTATCTTTCATCCTTTTCAGCCTAAACTGGACTACGAATTAAAAGTTATAACATAAAAATATTTGACAATAATCCCAAGCAACTGGTAACTCTCGATCGCAAAACTTATGTGAACCATCTAGGAATATTTCATTGACAATAATCTTTCCTTCAAGTGTTACATTGATTACATCTCATCAAAAAAAAAGCAGTACAATACAACACAATACAATACAATAATACAATACAATACAATACTTTATTCAAGAGATCTAGATACAGATAATATGCATATGTTAAAAAAAAAACCTCTTGAAACGGTAATAATGAGGTTAGCCATATACGTGACAATTTTCATAAATAAAACGCGTAAATGACGTGTACAATGCAAGAACTACTTACAAGCCAAAATGCAATTTTAGTTAGTTTCCAGGTCAACAATTGTAAAACATGTTTACATGGTAAATTAAAAAATATTCTAAAATTTGCTACTTAACGTCCATAAAGGTATTCGGTCTTGATCTAAACAGAGTCAGTGATCCAGCGTGTACAACTTCACTAGGCAGACTATTCCATGCATTAATTGTACGGACAAAGAACGAATTCTCACAGTAAGGGAATTGGCATTATTGCTAGACTAAGAGATCTTGTAGAATTTACTACTCTCCTATCTATCGCTCGTTAATCGAACCGTACATTTCCTATGGTCTCATTGCTTGGGGCCAAGCCGCAAATGCTCATCCCAAGAAAATTGCTATTCTACAGAAGCATGCAGTCCGAATTGATGCATTCTTGGATTGCAAAACTCACAGCGCTCCTCTCTTTGTTAGCTCAGGAATTCTTCTGAAATAAATGCTCTATTGCAAATCGGTTGCCTGTTTATCACAAGGTGTTTGCCGGTAACCTACACCTTTTTTAGGTTCACTTGCTTTAATTATAATGAACCATTTTCCCGAACTAAAAACTGTCGTAAGAGTAACGTGGGCGGTCAGTTGAGGCTTGTTACAAGCTAACATGTTCTTTTTCCTTTAACGAATAGCTGTACAGCTAGCTGTTATTTCTAAGGTATTTGTTGTTGTGACAAAACTGGCGTTGTTTCGTTTGGGTCTATGCACAGCTCAGGTCAGCAAACAGCAACGTACCGAGGAGCGCACAGATTGTTAGTAACAATAACAATAATGAATGTTAGCCCAGCCCAGAAATTAAATAGATCGTTGCCAATTTTCGTGGGATCCGAGTAAGCGCCTGGTTTCTTAGAACATAAAAAAATTTGCGTAGTAGACGTAGTAGAATTAATTCTTAGTTTCTTCGAGAATCTGACCTGAATGAGCACAATTGTAAACAATGTTTATTTGAACTCTTTCTTGCCTAATTTTTGAGTACTGAGCTAACAAATGGAAGCTCTCGCACAAATTGATTAGCCCTCGATTACTGAGACCATGATTTTAACGAGCAGTATTCGAGTATATCAAATACTCAGACCGATTTGAAATTTTATTTAATGAGCAGTATTACAGTATATAAAGTAACTTTTTTGCTCCGAATAATTAAATTTACTGCATGACCGGGAGAAATTTGGAAAACCTGTGTCTTGAACATTGTTTGAGCATATTGAGTACTCTATATCGAGTCGTTAAAAGTTACTCAAGCAATTTTGTCTTCTACTTATACCACTTGAAAATGTTTGTTTACAAACCCGTCGTTTTGAGTAATTCGAAGCCGCAGCTTAAAACATGCACATGTTTGACCTGTATCTTTCAAGGCGTGTTTGCCATTTTGAATCATCCAATCGTTTGACGGATTTGACAATGACGTCAGTGCTTTGTCATTGGCTCGCAGTCAAGTCTTTTCGTTATATAAGCACGACACTACCCGGATGGTTGGGCGGCTTGTTAACTCCAGTACAACACACACATCTCTCTGAAACACTCATGTAATATTCAAACAATACCACTTACATGTATAATGCTCCCTTGGGTATGTTCCTTCAAATCCCTACACGGCCTGCTTCTCATTAATATCCCACTCATACCTTAATTACCAGCATCTCATTAAATCGGTTCCTATCACATTAATTCAATTTTTAACGCTTCATGTAGAACCAGGAGCATCGTCTATACTACTCTAACAATCAAATCGATCACAGACCAGAAAGGCATGGTAAAATTGAAGTGCAATTCTAACAATCAAATCTAACAATCAAATCGATCACAGACCAGAAAGGCATGGTAAGATTGAAGTGCAATTCTTATTTATGTTAACTCACGTTTGACTTGGTATAGCCGGACGTTCTGCTAATTGCCCGGGTCCGATAACTGGAAGACATTTAACTGGTAAAAGTGAAATTTGATTGGCAGATTCTGGTTATTGGCCCTCTGACTAACTTAGTAGAGTAAAAATACAAGCAATTAATTCACGCGCGATCTTTTGTAGCTGTTTGTTTCGTACCATCAAATAAACGTAACCCTTTTTACGTTCAGTCCTTAGTTGGTATGAAAATGGGTTAATTTTGCTCGTTAAACTCCAACTCAACTAGTTCCTGCTTTAAAATTTCCTCGAATTGATTTTGCTATCGCTACCGTCCACATGGACACCAACCTGAAATTGTGCTCAGCTTGTTGTTTTACCGCCCAAAATGACCCAGAGCCGGATGAACAGGGAGAGCTGCTGCTGGTGGACTCGACGGAAGTAAATCAAAGCAACTACTCTTTGAGCCCCTTCGTATATGGAGTCTTAGTGTGTATGGTCCTATACGGACCCACTTCACTGCATCCTTTTAGATTTAGCTACCATGTATCAGACATATCATCTACTGAAGGTTATCATTTTTAGGTCCTCTGTTCAGTTGTGTCCAGGGGTGAATGAATGCACTTTAAACTAATGATTAACTTTATTTCAGAGCCAGTAGCTTTTATAGCTGTGGTAACACTAGACAGGTTTGGGTGTTTATCAAACATGAAAGAACGTGCATCTCATTTGCGTTTAATTCTGGAAATTAAACTCTTATACACAAACGAAATATAGTGCCCATGATTATGATTTAATCTAATCATTAAAAAGGTGCATGCGCCAAGTTCTTAGCGAACAAAGACTTTCCAGGCGTTTCCAATATTTCCCTCAATTTTATTGTCGTCACAATCCAATCTGGCGCCATTGGTTTCATCATCCAATGATAATCATACTTTGAAATGCAGGGTGATTGAATAATCTGTCTTCATTTTCGCCGTGCCCCCATTTACCAACTTGTATAAATACCACCTTCTTTTCCCAATCTATGGCAAACTCCTGTTGACATTGAATTGTCATTCTCCATTCTAACAAACGAGCCATAGGCGTCGGGCTGGACATCCGTCTCACCGCTGAAGTACTGGACTACAGCTTCACCAGTGCTGCTAGCGACCATGGTTACGTGGAATGTACGTCCGTGTTTTTTACTGCAGTAGAATCTCAGCTGATTAACTTTATTTCAGAGCCAGTAGCTTGTATAGCTGTGATAACACTGGACGGGTTTGCGTGTTTATCAAAAGTGACCGAACGAGCATCTCGTTTGCGTTCAATTCTGGAAATTAAACTCTTGTACACAAACGAAATGTAGTGCCCATGATTACAATTTAGCTATCTATAAACAGATTCTCAATATCGTAAGTACAGTGTGCAAAGCATTTCGAGAAACCCATTTAGTTACGTGTAGTAGTGCATTATATAAGGTAATCTTAAACAGGTGCATGCACCAAGTTCTTAGCGAACAAACACTCTCCAGGCATCTCCGACTTGTCCTTCAACACCAATGTCGTCACACTCGAATCTCCCGGAACCAGTTTGTCTCATTATCCCATGATAATCATACTGCACAAATGCAGGGTGATTGAATAATCTGTCTTTATTTCGGCCGTACCCCCATTTACCAACTTGGAAATTAGCGCCTTCTTTTCCCCATCTATGGCAAAGTCTTGTTAACAGCGAGTTGTCATTCTCCATTCTAACAAACGAGCCACAGGCATCAGGCTGGACATCCGTCTGACCGCTGAAGTACTGGAGTACAGCTTCACCAGTGCTGTTGGCGACCGTGGTCACGTGGAACGTACGTCCGTGTTGTTTACTGCAGTAGAATCTCAGCTGAGTGAAAGACAAGTGTGATCTCAGATCAGCCATGGCGCTTTTCTCGAGAAACATTTTTTTGGTGTGACAACTGTCGATTGCACGGAATGATGACTCAACTGAGAACTGGAAGGGTGGAATTGAACTGTCAATCACCATGTTGGAAACAAGAAGCCAGCCTCCTGAAATCAGGAAACGGTCAGCGGTATAAACAAAAACACATATCAGTCAACTAAAGTTGGAGAGCAAGAACTCTGAAAATAAACCTTTATCTGGAGAGCCTACCTAGAATTAAAACAAATATAGATTAAAGCTACTTTGCTCTTTTCTTGAGAATGAGGCATTAGAATCGTAGATACATGAAACCGTTCACTGCCCTATAATCCGGGAATCCTATGTGATATGCCAACTGTATTTCCACTGCAATTTCCAAAAATCGAGAAGAGAGTTGAAAATACGACGCGTAGCAGAGTATTTTAGACGAACTTTGCGTCAAAAAATATCTATAACATATGACTACCTCAAGCCTCTAAATTCCAAAGCTCGGCCACGGGTAGGCATTACCCTATCCGACAGTGAAAAATTGCCCTGCTCATCCAAAAATGTCATTTATCTCGCAACGTGCTGTAAATGTATTTACAATATGTGGGTTCCACATCAACTGAGTTTAAAATTAGATTCCGTTATCATAAATCAAATATGCTCAACAATAAAAGAACATGTGGATTGGCGGTACATTATAATAGTTCCCAAAACGACATTTCCCAAATGAGGTTTATCGTCATTGAGCAAATTGTATCCTTCCTAAATCCATTGCATTTAGACCAGTTACTGCTTACCAGAGAAGCCTATTGGATGACACATTATATAATAATCCAAGTTATTCTCGCATTTTGATTGGTTCTCGCCTATGATCTATTAGAGGACAGACGCACGATTGACGTCATCATTTCAAAGTTTTTCCTTCTGTGTTTTAAAATGGCGGAAAGTTTTGAGAATTTAGATAATATTTTACATGACTG